GCACTCTCGCACACTAATGCTACCTTGTTTAAGGCTCTCAAACTCAGTGGCACGGGCTGCCTTAGTCTTGGAAGGCAAGAAATGATCAATAAAGGCAACGGTAAACTCACTCCACCTCATCGGCGGGCTCTCGTCCTCACCGGACTCCTCTTGCATCTCAAACCAATAATGTGCCACCTCATTCATATGGTAGGAAGCCAACTCCACTGCCTCCGTCTTAGTAGCACGCATAACTCAAAGAGTCATGTGTATCTCATCAATAAAGTCCCGGGGGTCCTCCTCCGGATTAGTACCTGTAAACACTGGGGGATCTAACTGAAGAAACCTATTCACCCAGGAACTAGAGGAATCCCCTGGTTGGCAGGAAGAAGTAGGTGCAACATTCGATCTCTGAACCTGGGAAGCCACAATCTGAGCTAAAATCTGTATGGCTCGCCTAAGGTCCCCATCAGAAATACTAGGACCGGAAGATGAGGCTAGAGGTGGAACCGGAGTATCAGTTAGAGGAATCATTGCACCCTTAGTAGGTGTAGGAATTGGTGCAGTGTAAGCAGGAGTAGTAGAATCAGGCGGTGTAGTTGTTGGGGAATATCCTCACCCCTCAGGCGCTCACTCGCATCATCAGATACATAGCAACTGCTACTCCTGGGTTGGCAATGGCTCCTCAGACAATTCATACGTTCCTCATAGGCTCCATGTACAATAAACTAGAGAAATGCACAAGTTAAAGGAGGAGTAGTCTTATAATCAACTTTATCGCACGATCTAGAACATCGAAGGAGGGTGTTATTCCTAAATTCCCAGTTAACCTCCTAATTATAGATGTGGTGGACAACACACTGATAAGAAGGACTCTACTAGACACGGCTATGAGAAATCCTAGGACACTTTATAACTTTAGGCTCTAATACCAAGCTTGTCATGCCTCAACCTTGGGGAGCGCGACCGATGCTCAACCGAGATTTCACAGTCAAGAAACCCTACTTGATGCCTTTTACCTGACCTTACCCACGAATAAAGTAAAGCTTTATTCCATTATTTAGACAATTATATAATTACATGAACCATACAAATTCCATTACCATAAATTACTTCATTAACCTTTCCAAAAATATATTACACAATCATAGTTTAGAAGTGGAAACAAGTGACACATATACAACATTTCTAGTTTATCTTTCCAAAAGAATGATACAAGACTAGAGAATCGAGGATTGACTTCAAAGAAGGAATGCTCTCGGCGCACGATAAGCCAAGGGAGGCTAGCGTGCACTGACGATGGTGAAAAGACGCAAAAACACAGCTCCGGTGACGACCACTGTAACACCGGCGACCTCAGGGATGAACCCATTCACTCCATTAACGTTTGGAAGCTTTTACCTTCTCGATTCCAACCAATTCGAGAGGAAAATGAGCTGAACGAGGAAGATGAATGCAAGAGTAATCAATGGAACAGTACAAAGGAAGTGAAGGAGAAGGAAAGCCAAAAGGCAAAGACAAATTGCCAACTAGTCTGCGAAGGCTTCAATTCTCGGAAGCTAGATCCTCAACTCTACCTTCACCAGATCTAGAACAAGCAACAGCAGCTAGAGCTGGAATAGAAAAGGAAGGACATGCAAAAGAACTTAGGCAGCAAAACCGCAATTCTCAGATGGGAATGAAGCTGGAATATGTGCCGACATGTCATCGAGATGGTAAGATTGTCATTAAAATGATGGAAGAAGATGTAAATATGTTGAATGAACACTGGACGACAGCTCTAATAGGGTATGTACTGGGGGATGCTCCATATGAGAAATCTATGGAATCCTACGTTGAATCTATATGGGACGTTGTCACCAAGCCCCAAATTCTATACCATAAGGATGGCTACTTTGTATTTCGATTTGCAACAAATGAGGAAAGGGATCTGGTAATGCAAGCAGGACCTTGTTCGTATCACAATAAACCGCTTATTCTGCAGAACTGGGAAAGGGATTTCCACTTTGACCCTAAATGCATTACCACAATTCCTTTGTGGATTCATTTTCCAAGTCTGCCTGCTGGGTATTGGTCTGCTGATGCATTAAGCAAAGTGGCAAGTGCTGTAGGATTACCAATGTACACTGACAAATTCACAGCTGAACTGAACAAAATTTCCTATGCCAGAATGCTAGTGAAGGTAGATATTACCAAGCCTTTGGTGGAGAGTGTTGAGATTGAGACCCCTACTGGAACATGGCAACATGAAATCTTGTATGAATGGAGACCAAAGTTTTGTAGTGAATGTGTGCATTTTGGCCATGGTAACTTTGAGTGCTGGAAAACCAATTAAGAATACTGAAGATGCAGAATTTCAAATTCCTAATAGAAGAAATAGGAACAGAAGGAAAAAGGTAGTGCAAGAATGGATACCAAAAGGCCAGCAAAAACAAGGAGAGGTGATAGAAGAACAGCCTTCAAATGAAGCAGACTTGGGGAACCTAGTAACAGCTGGACAAGAAGCTGATCAAAACATGCAGATGGCAAGCAGACATGGAGGAAGTAGAGTACAAAATAAGCCAATTATGAAGATTGTAGAAGCTAGCACATCAAACAGATTTACAATGCTGGATCAATGTGGGCAAAGTTTTGTAAAGGGAGAAGCACTGCTGGCTGAGCCTATACACCAACCACCATGATCATCAGTACTTGGAACATAAGAGGGATTAACAAGCCCTATAAGCAGAAGGAGTTAAGAAACTTTCTGCAAAAGAATAAACTAGAGTTAAAGAAAAGAAGGCACAAAATATACTGCAAAAGGTAGCAAAGGATTGGAGTTACTGCTGCAATTATTCTAAGGCTGAAAATGGAAGAATATGGGTACTATGGAGAACATCTTTGACTGTTAACATAATTCATATCCATGAGCAATTTATCCAATGCTTAGTGGATGTCCCAATGAATAGCAGTCAGATAATGGTGACAATGGTCTATGCTAGAAATAAGGCACAGGAGAGGGCAGTACTATGGCATGACCTGCAACAGGTAGGGGGGCAAGTTCAAATTCCCTGGCTCATAAGTGGACATTTTAATAGTGTTCTAACCACAGATGATAGGTTAGGATAGCCAGTGACTGCTAGTGAGATAAATGAGCTTAACCAATGTATTAACAACATACAGTTGATCCCATTGAGAACAAAGGGATGCTTTTTTACATGGTGTAACAAACAGGATGCACATGCTAGAGTATATAGCAAGATTGACTGGGCTTTTGGAAATTTCAAATGGATGAAGGACTATGGATATGTGGAAGCAGATTGCTTAGAGCCAGGAGTGTCTGATCATTCTCCTATCTTAGTTCAAATCCGGGAAAGAAAAACCATCCACCCCAAGCCATTCAAACTTTAAATGGTCACAATGGATCATAAGGAATTCAGGCCAATGAGGGACAGAATATGGAAGCACCAGAATGAGATGGATCCTATGACAAGTATCTGGCAAAAATTACATAAGCTGAAAAATGAAGCTAAAGGTCTGAATAAGGAGATGGCAAATTATGAGCAAAGATTAACACAAATAAGGCAGCAACTAGAATGCACTCAAGCTAATATGGTGCATGATCCTTTCAACCAATTGCTGATAAAACAGGAAAAGCATGCCACGCATGAATTGGAGAAATGGAGTTTAATAGAGGAGAGAATATTGAGGCAGAAGGCAAGAGTGACATGGATTGACAATGGTGACTCAAATTCGAAGTACTTCTTTGCACAGTTGAAGATTAGAGCAAGCAAGAACAATATAATTGCTGTGTATAATGAGTCAGGAATGAAGGTTACTGATCCAACTGATGTGGAACAAGAATTCACAAACTTCTTCACTCAACTAATGGGGAAGGCTACGGGGCTAAAACCATGCCCAAATACAAGTTATATTAAAGCAGTAGATTGCTTGAACTAATAGCAACAGCAGGAACTGATAAAGGAGATCACACATGAGGAAGTGGATGAAGCTGTGAGAGATATGCCAAATAACAAAGCTCCTGGGGTTGATGGCTACCCTATAGAGTTCTTTAAAAAGCAGTGGATGATAGTGAGGCAAGACATATATGAAGCTGTATCCTTTTTCTTCCAAAATGGTAAAATGAAACCAGCATGGAATTGTATAGCCATCACTCTGATTCCTAAAGTCCCAGCACCAACAACAGTTTAAGACTACATGCCTATTGCTTGCTGCACTACCTTGTAAAAAATTATTGCAAAGATCCTGACAAAAAGACTTAAAAAAGTTATTGAGGAGATCATTGGCAAGTCACAGTCTGCCTTTATAGAAGGAAGGTGCATTATAGATAACATCTTGTTTAGCCATGAACTTTTCAAAGGCTATACCAGGAAAGGTCTATCCCCTAGGTGTGTCCTCAAGGTGGATATAAGAAAGGCTTATGACTCATTAGACTGGCATTTTCTTAGATATATGCTCACTGAGTTGGGATTCCCACAGAAATTCATCCACTGGGTAATGGAGTGTGTGTCAACTGTGTCCTACTCTTTAATGCTTAATGGTGGACTTACAAAGCCATTCAAAGCCCAGAGAGGAATCAGGCAAGGTGATCCAATGTCACCTTACCTATTTGTCATAGCAATGGAATACTTGCAGAGGGAGATGAACCAACTAGCCAAATTAAAGCAGTTTAAATACCACCCAAGATGCAAAAAAACTGGGGGTGACACGTATTTGCTTTGCTGATGATTTGCTCATGTTCTGTAGGGCATATATAAATTCAGTAAAAAATAATGCAGGAAGCATTCTACAGGTTTTCTGCTGCATCTGGATTGCAGGCAAATACAGACAAAAGCTCAATGTATATAGCTGGGGTTCCACAGCATATCAAGGAGCTGCTACTTGAGAGTACATGATTCAATGAAGGGACTATTCTATTTAAATACCTGGGGGTACCACTGTGTGCTGATAAGTTGAATATACACCAATGTTTGCCACTGGTGGAGAAGATCACTGAAAGAGTTAACTGCTGGTCTGCCAGGATGCTATCCTACTCTGGAAGATTGCAGCTTATCAAATCTGTACTATTTGTCATTCAAACATATTGGGCACAAGTTTTCTTATTGCCTAAGAAGATTATGAAGATGATTGAGACTATTTGCAGAACTTTTCTTTGGACTGGATCAAATGCCATTTCAAGAAAAGCATTGATAGCTTGGGACAAGATTTGTCAACCAAAAACTACAGGAGGGCTGAACATCATCAATATGAGGGTATGGAACAAAGCTGCAATTATCAAACAACTGTGGGCTTTGGCAATGAAGAAGGATGCCTTATGGATTAAATGGACACACAGCTACTATATCAAGAACAAAGACATTGCAGAAATTAACACATCTAGGACAACAGCTTGGGTGATTAGGAAAATCATAGAGGCAAAGAAAGAAGTGATACATATGAACTCAATGCATGGGAGTGTCATATCAACTTTAGCAGACTTGGTGAAACAGGGCAGATTCCAAATTCAAAAGGCCTATGTCCAGTTAATGCCTCAGCTTCCCAAAGTTAGCTGGAAAAGCATTCATCTACACACACAGATTCATCCACGGTTCGAACTTCACTTATGGCTGGCCATTCATCAGAGAATAGCAACCGTGGACAGACTTCTCGAGTTTGGGATTCAAGTACCACCTTATTGTGTATTGTGCAGGTACTATGGAAACATTGGACCATTTGTACTTTGAATGCCCACACACTAGGTTATTATGGGATAGAATACTGAAATGGCTGGGAACTACAAGAATAATTGGAAGTTGGCAGGAAGAGATAGCATGGATCAGCAGTATAGCCAAAGGGAAGAATGGAAAAGCAGAAATCACTACAGCAGCATTTGCTATGGTAGTATACTGTATTTGGCGAGAAAGAAACTCCATCAGATTTCAAAAGGGTCGTTACATGGTGGATGAGCATGCAAGGAGATAGCTCTACATATGCACATACAGGGGAGATCAATGATCAAATGGCAACAAGCTTTACAAAATGTAAATAGTTATCCTTACGCATAGCTTGTTTTTTTTCTTACTGTCCTTTAGTAAAATCCCTGTAATAGTATTAGAATTAGGAGATTGATGGTCAGAACCAATCTGGTTTTGTAATGACAGTTTTTTTTCTGAAATGAAATGCTAGTTTTATCGGGAAAAAAAAGAATGATACAACCCGTAGTACGTCCACGGAGCCTCTATTGATACACAAGAGTGATATGATTATGCACGTAAAAAGGCTCCGGCTATACCTCAAAACACTGTACATAAGGAAAAAGAGATACAAGACCCGGATATGAAATGGGGCTCACCAAGTCAGCTGAGAATAGGGTGTACCACTATCACTGATCGATGCCGCCTGCTGTGGAACCACCCTCATCCATTAAAGATGCAGCGCCCTCAGTAAAAGAGACATTAGTACATACGTAATAGTACTAGTATGTAAGACTAAACACTCTCTTGATAAATCGAGAAACAATACAAGGAGAAACAACATAGTCTCAATGAGAGCCCCAAACAATATATAAGCGTCAAGTTAAGATAAGGATAAATTTTCAAGTAAATAACAATGTTCTAGATTGGGAGATCTTTAGTACCAACTACACCACCGTATTTTCAAAATAGAGTGCGATCACGGCCCCATCGACTAACTCGTCTCACCCAAAGACATTCAATCACAACACCACCATGCGCGCGGAATGACGTCCGATCTCAGTCTAGTCGGCTAAGACATCTCACCATCATGCCGTGCAGGTCGACATCACTTTCTGCTAGCAATCATCCCATCCCAGTTGAGGGGAGCAATATCAACACATCACTCTCATCCCATTTAAGGAGAATTATCTCGAGTCATCAAAACGGGGATTTACCCCTCAATCACTCCTACACCGGCACGTGTAGTTTTGGGGTTAGGTTATTTCAACCTACCCTTCCTCGGTGACTAAACGATACTCCAAAAACATTTATTATAAAAAGGAGTTACAGTTCATTTCATAATCTTTCATGCATCTTTTAATCTCATTGGTACGCGTGGCCACAAATGTAATTTTATTTTTGGCACTTCGGCCGTATTTCATATTTCATACACACTCCTTTCACCTTCAGGCATCATCATAGATTATCAACAACAAGGAATTTCTAATCAAGACATTAAATATACATATGAGCAATAGAGTCTTAAGAACATTGAGTTTTCTTCCACAACTTCGCATAATACATTGCAATTGAAACATGATTGGAATCGTAATATTTTGACACATTGGTCACGTTTGAATACATTCTCATAGGATAACACAATATGATAAGAGCATTTGGAACATATTTTATGTATATGTATTTTAACACAAGCTTAGTCGGAATAGTAAAATTTATAAGGGATAACTCGGAATATGAGAAATAAGAGTTTGGCCCATCATACTTGAAACATAGGAGAACATCGTGGGATTTGATTCTAAGAGAGAAGTTTAGCCGACATACCTTTCTTTGAGCTTTCCTTATAATAGTACAATGCTAAGAAGATCCTAGCTACTTCAATTTTTTAGAGATATGACAAATTGAACTATAATTAGGAAGAGATTTTTACGGGTTCAGCCCATAGACATTTCATCAAACACTATGTGTGCAAATTTAACAAGGTTCTTCTACAACGTCTCCTTCACCCCACAACAAATCCAACACCAAGATCTTACCCATTTAGTTAGATGACCTCCCCACCATGCTTACTGGTACATACATGCACAAGAAAACTCCCATTCCCAAGAATCATACTCCTCATTACCTACTTTCCGCTCAATCCTGAAATTGAGGGCTAGGGAGTAGAATCTTACCTCCTAGGTGAAGAACGTGTGAGCTTTCCGTGTTGTATTTCAAGGTTTGAGCAAGGATTCAATGTATGGATGTTGGTGCCCTCCCTTCTCTCTCCGACTCCCTTCCCCTCTGTCTAAACACCAGATTTTCTACCTTCTAAACGATCCCCAATAGGGTCGACTTATAAAATCAAAAATGGTCCCTCCGAACTCAACTACGTGGTCACAGAGTGCATCGCAGATCTGGTCGGAGGCCCGAAAAATGGACCACAAAAATGGTCCCAAAAACTAGGTTGGCATACGGCCGTTCTGCGGCTCGCAGAATAGTTATGTGGTCGCATTACACGCCACGAAATCCCCCTCCAGAATTTTCTCATGCTGGATCAGCAACGCATGTGCGGCCCACGAAATGATTATACGGCCGCATAATTGACCGCAAAATATCCTTTAAAACTTGGCTTATGTTCTATTGCATTCTGCGGTCAATCAGCGGTTTGTGAAGAGATTTTGTAGTCGCATAGTTGACTGCAGAAATGGCATGTTCTGCCAAAAAAATTTCTTCAACTCCCCAACGCACTGTACAACAAAAAGTCCGTATCTCGCAAGCTCGCTGCGAACATTTTCTACTGTCATGACCAAAACTACCATGTCGTGATGGCGCCTATTGTGGTACTAGGAAAGCCGAACCTTTACCAAAAACAACACGATATTTAATTTTCAAGGATAAATTCAAGCTATTTAATAATAAAACTTCATAAAGAAAATCTGAATAACGAAAGTGCGGAAAAAAAAGCCCGTCATTGGGGTGTCACTGGTCATGAGCATCTACTAAAAACTATCCGATAATACTAAGACAAACACAGTCTGGAAATGCAACTATAAAACATCCATAGGAAGATAAGAGGGAGAAGAGCAGGGCTGCGATCGCTAGCAGCTACCTCGCCAACTCTAAGAAGATTTACAGCTGGAGTAGTCAACAGCCGCTGCCGGGTCATGATGCGCCGGGATCTGCACACAAGGTGCAGGGAGTAATGTGAGTACGCCAACTCACTAAGTAACTAAAGTAAATAAAGGTTGAGAAGCAGTGACGAGCAATAAAGCATATAAAGTTCATATTAGGGAAATCTCAGTAAAAATACAACAGGCTGTTAAAAGCAGAGTTTGAATCAAATAATTTCGTTTAACTCCGTTTTAGTAAAATATTTGAAGATATATTTTCAATAGTTCTCAAACAGAGGCTCAATGCAACACTGAGCAAAAATGATGAAATCATGAATAGCCCCTCGAGCAAAACATTACTCAAAAGCAGCCCCTTGGGCAAACAATCACTCATATACAGCCCCTCAGGCAACCTCACAGTTACTCGTACACCGCCCCTCGAGCATACCTCACATCACTCACACTCAGGGTACCCGCGCTCACTGGGGTGTGCAGACTCCGCAGGGGCTCCTTCAGCCCAAGCGCTATAACAAGCCACCTCGTGGCATAAATAAATCAAGACCTCGGCCTCACTCAGTCTTGAATCAGTAACAACATGTCGCGGCATGCACCCCGATCCCATAAATATCCTCACAAATCAAGCCTTCGACCTCACTCGGTCATAAACTTCTCAAGCCACTCGGGCTCTCAGTAAAACCAGGGTACTCAGCCCAAAACAACATTTCATATGCATCAAAACATAGTAATAAAGACAGAGTTATGAAATCAATAAGGATAACATGACTGAGTATAGATTTTCAACCAAAAAGAGTTAGAGGATAGTAAGAAAAGGCCCCTAAATGTCCAAACAGCTCTGGCACAAGGCCCAAATATGGCATTCAGCCCAATTTACATAAACTCTTTCTAAAACACATATGTATCATATAGTTTCAACCAAATACGCAACTTTATAGTTGCTACGGGACGGACCAAGTCACAATCCTTAATGGTGCACGCCCACACGACAGTCACCTAGCATGCGCGTCACCTCAAAATAGTAAAACAATACGAAATCCGGGGTTTCATACCCTCAGGACTAGATTAAAAATCGTTACATACCTCAAACCGGTCAAATCTCTTCTCGCGATGCTCTTGCCCCTCGACTCGGCCTCCAATCTCTCCGAATCTATTCACAACCAAAACAAACCATCAAAATGCATTAATGGAATGAATTTCACAAGAAGAAAACTATCTAATTAGGCTCAAATCCCGAAATCCTCTCAAACCCGGCCCAACGGGCCCATGTCTCGGAATCCAACAAAAGTCACAAATCTAGAAAGCCCTTTCACTCACGAGTCTTTACATACAAGATTTATCAAAATTTGACTCCATTTGACCCCTAAAATCCTCAATCAAACTCTCTAAAATCCCAAGCCCTAACCCCTCATTTTCACCCCTAATATTCACTAATTGCTTGATTAAAAAATGGGAAATCACCACATAAACGAGTATAAGGGCTCAAGTAACTTACCTCAATGAAAACCCCCTTGAATCCCTCTTCAAAATCACCCCAAAAGCTCCACTCCCGTCTTTTAAAATGGTGGAAATGGGTAAAATCTGCGAAGGCTTCAATTTATACCTTCTGCCCAGGCCTTTCCGCACCTGCGGTCATAATAGCGCACCTGTGGTGCCGCTTCTACGCCCAAAAGTCCGCATATGTGGAAGTCACTTAAATTTCCAAAACTGCATCTGCGCCCTGGGCATTGCACCTCCGGGCCAGCAAATGCGTCAAATCCTCCGCATCTGCGACTCCCCTCCTAGCTCTCCATTTCCGCTTCCGTGGCTTGTCTCCCGCACCTGCGTCCTTGCACCGCAGGTGCGGTTATCACAGAACCAGCAGCTTCAGCTGCATTTTCCAAGTTTCAAACTCTCTGTTAACCATCTGAAATTATCCCAAGGCCCCCGGGACATCAACCAATAATACCAACAAGTCAAATATAACCATACAAACTTAGTCAAACCTTGGGAACACTCAAAACAAAATCAAAACACAAAATCATCCTCGGATTCAAGCATAAGAGCTTTTACAATTCCAAATTCCGCAAACGACGCCAAAACCTACCAAATCACCTCCGAGTGACCTGAAATTTTGCACACACGTCACAATTGACACTACGAACCTACTCCATATTGCGAAATTCCATTCCGACCCAGATAT